TGAGGGAAGAGAGTGATGCACGCACTCTACATGGAGAAGAAACACTTCTATTTAAACCCAGTGCATTAAATGTCCATTTAATGCAGTAAGGTAGGGTTTAAAGTGCGTGACAAGCCTTAACAGGAAGGCTTGTCCTTTGTTACAGTGAATAGTACAAAGCACTATTCTTGAACAGACATCCTTACCTAAAGATGGTGGACAAAGAGTCGACTAATCGGCTCCGTACCGTACTATCTTTAATAAGAGTATGGGTTTGTCCTTTTGTGTGTGCAAGGACAAAACAACAACAATCGTGTTAAGCAAGCTTCATTTGATCGCTGAATGCTGGAATGACCTGAAGGTCTCATCATCATTCGCTGAAGCTAGAGCAGTCTTCACATATAGTTAGACAGGCTTGTAATCACTGAATACCGCTTCAGATCACGTACGCGTCAGTCTCTAATCTTCAGTTTCAGTCTTCGACGATTGCTGAAGGATCTTTGGTGTGAGTGTTGTTTTCTTGAAGTATTGTTGTCTCTGAATGATTTACAAAGCGAGTCAGTGTATTGATCGCTGGAACTGAAAATACAGAAACTAAAATACATCGAAAGGAAAAATGGATTATCATCAAATCACTGAAAGAGAGGATCAACAGATAAAGACCCTGATTTTTTTTTAAAATAAATAAATAAACCATTGAACTTTTGCTAATCGGTTAATCTAAGCTTCTTTGGGTTAAAACGATGTAAATAACCAATTTTTAAAGATTTATTTATTAAAAGTATGTTCACATACTTAATTAATCAAATGACAAATTGCATGAAAAAGTAACGTATTTTAATTTGATTTTTATTTTGGATAAAATAATTTCAAAACTTCAATTTTGCTACCTAATATGTAAAGTTTTAAACATTTAAGTACTCGAATAATCGGTTGAAGCATTAACTCATTCTTCTAATAAACCACAATACATAAAAACTAATTTTTGAATAACTTATTCATATCGACAAATAATATCGAGTTAGATACCATATCACAATGTTAACCGATTAATACTTCATTCGGTTACCTAAGTACTTAAATTTTCAAACTTTACATCTTAAGTATCAAAATGAAAGTTTTGAAAGTTCAGTACCCAAAATATGAATCAAGTTAAACTATGTTACTTTTTCATGTAATTTGTCATTTGATTAA